TGACCTGATGCGTGCACAGTGATGTACATACTCTCACTCTCATTTGCAACAGTAAATTGGTATGGGTTGAGTCTGCGTCTGAATGATGGTAGCCAAGATGTCAGAACTCTGCGCCAGAGCGCATGGGAGAGAACGGTGACGTAAATGCCCGAAAAACGTTTGGCGTGGAGAAGATAGATCATTTCCTTAGAACATGCAACGACCGTGCTGCCAAACGTAAAGGGGAAATGCCTGCAAACAGACCACCTGGCTCGAAAAGAAACCCAATATCCTCACAGACATCCATGGCTACAAGTCAGCCGGAATATATGGATCAAATGATAACACCAAACTTTAATGTGCACGATGGCCATGACTTGGAGAGAAGGGATGCAGATCAAGACGCAGTGTTCTGAAACAGATGTTTGTAGATTTTCTTAAGGAGAACGCTTGCAAAACGAAAATCAGCATGTCCTGGAACCCTGTAGCAAAACTATTTACTGAAACTGTATAAACCCTAAACACTAAGCTGGTAGTACGGGTAAGTTGTTGTTGAGGGAATCATCCGACAATAGAAATACTTACAGGCAGCGTTAATCAAAGATTGGGAGGCGCTTCAAATCCACAAACCGAAGGGGGTCGCGTTTCATTTACACGGATTAGGACGACGCTCACTGTGGACTTGTAAACACGGCATTTCAAACCCAGAAAAACCTCTTTCTGACGACAAATATGTTGCAGATTCAAGAATACAGGTCTATCTTTTGCAATATGTGAACCGACTTCAGTGGTCCCGCGACCAGCGTTCCGGATGCAGCTGCCAAGGTAAGTGAATTTGTCAAATACCTCGAGTTTCTCGCAATTCAAGATTAAAGAATAATTAAGTGGATGGTCACCCTGCGAAAACACGTGAACTTTGTGGATACGAAGCGCATGCCAAATGATGGGCCCATTTTAGAGAAGTTAGCGAGGGTGGACTGAGTAATCACAATGTGGTCAAACAGCAAAATAATATCGTTCGCATAAACAAGACCAAGACACACTTCAACGACCGCATCGTGAGATCCCACAAGAGAACATTCCTGGATAGAGTCCGCGACGAAATTCAATAGAAGAGGTAACTGGGCAATGCAGACGAACGTCACTTGTTGTCAGAAAGGTATCCGAGAAATCACCATAGTCACTGACGCCGCCTATGATATTCGAGTACAGTGATCGGGAAATATTCACATGTTCAACGGCAGCACGTCTCGGTGCAAGTGTTTCGAATGAGTGGAACGCACACTATAAGTTCGGGAACACAGCTATTGTCGGTAAGCGGCACAGGTGACGCATTAATAACAATTGCCACAGAGTAAATATATGCTCTATACAGCCTCGTCCAGGCCGAAACTCGCCTACGCTTCCCTACTCCAGGATTCACGTCCTGCAGTGAGGCGACGAAAGAGGCAAAAAGTTTGTCACCATCAACGTTAAGCTAATACCCATGTGGTTAGCACAGTCAGTACGACTGCCCTTCTTGTGTGTCGCCACTAAAATCGATTCAGTTCAGTTAGCCGAGTTGGTCTCTTCCTTGCAGACCTATTCGAACAGGGAGGTCAGTACTTTGAAGAGGACCTCACCGAAGTCGTTAAACAGTGAGGGTGCAAGGGGCTGTGATCGTGTTCCGGACATCGGCATCCTACGGAGCCACTATACTAAGCGGTCATGACTCAGCCTTCACCATCTGAGCTGGAAGTGGTCCGGGTGCAAGATGACAGCTGAACTACTCTCGAAAGTGATTCGCCCAAGCCAGACGGCGCTTCATATTGTGAATTAAGGCACGTGTGTTGTCTCTAACTGTCTCACTGACGTCGCGTTTCTTGGGACCAGTGGTGAGGATCAGCTGGCGGTAACTACCTACTAACCGCGCCTCCTCGAATTCTTAAATCTTACTGGTCCACCAGATTTCTATGTCAGCACACAGGCTCCGCCTTAGTTCGCGTCTAACAGTCCGTCTGGTTACGTTGTGCTCAGAGGCAGCACATAGTTTTCATCGAGATTGCAAGAGGTTCACAGATCTCTCGGGTTTTCAGTCAGTAGTGTGATGATTATTGATAGTAGCGCAAACAGAGGATCCCGTATCGCGCATGCAAGCTAAAATCCTACTCCACTGAAGTTCAGTTATTAGGGCGATAGAGCAGTACATATTGAAAGGCTCGCCTGGTACAAGATTGAGATCAACTTTCAATTGCTAATGGGGGACGCTTGTTACACCTATTGGTAAAGTTAGGGAAAAACGACGATGTACCAAAACATGATCAGACGCAACGCTAGATATTCCAGAGTGAAAGATGGTGTTAGAAGCACCTCATCTGTAAATTACAGCAGCGTGATATTACGGATCAATCAATGGGTCTAACGGCGGTGCTATTAAGAAACACGTGTTCGACGCACAGTTGCAACAGACTCTCGAAATCATCCGACCGTTCTAGGTTAAGTTCATACTAATCAACTAGATGAGGTTCTGAAGAGCACAGGCGATCTACTTGCGCATTCATATCTACTGCAACGAGATATGATATGATAACACTGCCTAGCAACGGGCTTAGCACGTGATACTGATACTGATTAGAAGCAGCGAGGAGAGCATACTCTGTGTAGCTGCATCAATTGTCGCTCTTGGACATTAACGTATTAATTATCGTTCCGCTCTCTATATTTCGCCTCTGCAAAGTGTTTGTCTAGAAGTTTCTTAAATTCGGCCACTGAATTCGCCTTTATTACCGGCTGCGGCAGGTTGTTCCAGGTATTCACCACTCTACGTTCGAAACAGAGTTGGTGAGCTACCCGCTTCAACTGTGGTACGATAAGTTTGTACCGGTGTCCTCGCGTGCTGCTTGGTGTGCGCAGATGAAGCAGTTGTTTCAAAATGGGGTAATCACTCAGATGTACTATCCGGTGCGTCATGATTAAGTCAACCCTCAGCCGACGATATGCTAGGGTGTACAGCCCTAGTTTCTTACATCGGTCTTCATAAGGTCCTTGACGGCATCAGAATTATACCCAGTGGGAGGATCAGCAGAAACAACAAACAAACGGGATGTAGCACTACTTCGTGAATCGACCTTAGTCAAACGGCTCCACACGAATGGTTGCTCCCGGGAACCCAAACAACCAGCGAAGACAGCCCTTGAACTGAGAACGATGCCCACGCCAGCATGACCAATAATTCCCGCATCAGCGTACCCGGATGCGTTCAACCAATAAGGAGAGTACAATCCGGACACAGTAATTTCAACAATTCCGTGAGGGTCTTTGATCCTAGTTTCGGACAACGCAACAGACGTCAGGGTGTCCAAGGTTCTTGTGAATGTAACCTGTTGAGCAAATTGCCTTAAAGTGCAAACATTGGACGCCGCCAACGAAACGGAAGTGTGGCTATTTAAGGCGTTAATGCTGATAGCCGTCCAGTAGGTAGTGAAGGAAGATAGCTGCAGATGGCGTAACTCCAGTGGCACCGCTGCTGCTGTCGATTAACTTGGGGGTTATAGAAAGAAGGTCAGTAATGGGGGTTGGGAAGAGAGTAGGAGAAACAGGCGGAAAAGAAAGAAGGGAGGCGCCAGTAGTATGATAGTTTCGCTTATCAGTGCTGCTGTATGCAGCAGAAAAAACGAGCCTTGATAAGCAGTGCGACTACCGATGCAGGGTGTGATTGAAGTTTTGGGAAATATTCAAAGTTGTAGGAGGGCTAAGATACCAACATGGCAGCCGAACATAGAGAGAAGAGCTATTCGGGTTCGCAACCACAGCTTGTCTGTGAGGCAGTGCGAAGGTAGCAACGATTCGGTTTCACGAAGTGCGACGCCATTTCACTTGCAACCCCCAACCTGGAGGACTAGGAGACTGGGTTGGCTTGACCTCTAACCACCGAACAACCTAATACGAGTAGCTTTCAAAGGGCCTGATGGCAGCGCCCAGTATAGTTCACTAGGTGAAAGTGGCATACAAACCGTCGCAGCACGTTAAAATGCAGTTTCGTTGCAACGGGCTCGTTGCAGTAGGTGGATGGAAGAAGAGGAAGGGTGGCCAAGCGGTGACTTGGTCCAGAGGAATGAAGACCCTCACTTCGAAGCTGGCCTCGGTTGGAGTGTCACGGCTCTCTGGTTGGGGACTAAAAGACGAGGATCACGTTTGGCTAGATATACTTGCTCACATGGCGAGGAACCGATCTCAGTGGCGTTCCTGCTGTGAGTTTCTTTGTCCGTCCCCATCCCTTTTAATTACACGGTCCAATCACAGTCTCATTTCGCAGCATAGTACAATTGTACACAATAATTGTTTGTTGCCTAGTAGCCGGCTGATAGCTTTCCGGAACGATGCCCATCCGTTACTGGTAGCTCAGCTGACATGCAAGTGTTGCATTTATTTTCTTTTTTCCCTTTTATGTATTGCGGAATAGTAGCGGTGTTTTACATATCTAGTAAGGTGTATAACGGTAATGATGATGATGACACCATGTTAATCGTTTTGGACAGCGAATGTTGAAGATTAATTAACAGGACAGAGTTTAGTGAATGGCTCCAGACAATAAAGCACAAGTGAAAGTTGGAGGCTGGTGTGAGAAGCAGTTCACTGCCAAGGTTAGTTGATTTCTCACAAAAAACACGTGATAAGACAAATCGGAAGAGTACATGAGCAAAAATCTGAGCAGTATGACAATCGAACTCTGGTACCCTGGTCGCGAAAAGACGAAAGGCAAGCTCGTACTTAAGTTGTTGCCGAGGCAACTGTGATTAGGTGAATCCCAATGGAATAAAATAAAGTGATTCGAAAGGATTGATAATGTGGATAAGTCGATAAAATGACCATACAAGTTTTACAAACCTCGAGGCCACTTGTATACAAAGTGACGGAAGGATCAGTCAGTCCGCGAACTAAACATTCAAACCTGGTCTAATGCGAACCGGATAGTGGCCACTAAACATGAAACCGTACACAAAATAATCCATAAGCGCTCGGGTCGTATAGAGTGAACTCACGCAGAATCTGAGTTCCCGCTATTCCCGGTCGTTCCCATCTGTTCATCGAGCGCATCAATGCGTTCGATAACCAACAGACGACACAGCACTGCAAGACGGTCGTGCTCTTCCACCAGTTGATTAAACCGTGATGGTGATGGAGGGCCACGTACATTGTCCGGTTGCGCAACCAAATCCACTTCTTCAGACTTGACTTCATTCATGGTGGAGGTTAAGTTCAGCTAACGCGGAGAAATCAAAAAGAGGTTCGATACGAACTGGAAGTGACCAAGAATAAGAACGAACGGAAAATAACTCTAACGGTGTAATATTGTGGGGCAACTCGAACAGAGCGTAGTTAAATAGAACGACGGACAAGCGACATATGAAACATAAGTGACTATCGGTACACAGAATTTAAAGTAGTGCATACAAAAATAAGAGACCGGAAGAAAATGTGAATCTAGTTATGGGAACAAGGCAACAGAGATGACACGTGAAAAGGGCTGCATAAACGATAATTAACACGGCTTCGAATCGGAGCAAAAGTCGGATGTACGATTGCCCCGAATGGGGATAGTCGTGTCTAGGCGGACCCGATAGTCTTTGGGTAGTATGAAAATCAGCATACCGCAGTATTTTGTAGTGAAACTGTGAGGGTCTAGACCTATGAACAGTAATGATTAACGATCCGAGAGATTTTCGATTATTATTAATGCGGTGTGGAAAATATGGGAAAGTCATAGGAAAACTCAGGTTGCGGAGACACTAATTACTGAAAAACAATCAACATTGCAGTTATATTAACGTGACAAAGCGAGTTGTGATACCAGAGATCCGAATAATACATGTTAGAGACAGAGAAATGCTACCGAACGCTACTTGTAGCTACATATATATCAAACAGTTTGCCCAAAAAACGCAGGGGCCATCGCATAAAATTCGCGGTTTCACGAACTTCGGTTCAGCTTCAGGACGCACAGATGCGTAAACATCCGTTGAACTATCTAGCTCTAGTGCCGAGTGTTACTTGAGGCACAAATACTCATTTTGACTAGTAGTGGCAGGACGGAGAACTCCCTTGCAAATTGACCCGTCCCGTATGGCCAGGAGTGTCGCATAGCACACGCCCAAAAGTGATTCGGATACAAACTCCCAGTAATACAGGCGGCGCCTGGAACCGGAACCCTATGAATCGCATCGCAAGACAGTAATCAATCGGTCCGCGTTCGCCTCGTTCTCAGTTGATATGACCTTGTTTACTCTTTAGATCCTAGATGTGGATGAAGCCAAACGTTGCGGTTTGAAAAACAAACGCCCACTGATTAGTAACAAAACGGCTCCGGTTGCTACTGCAGTGGTGAGTGCAAATGAAGCTATTACCGCTGCATTGACAAAATACGAATCTCGTAGACAATGCTGGCAGAAGTACAATGACGTAGAGTGCTTACGCTTTGCCGTTAGACAATCATCAAACAATATAGACGACCGATGATGAGGAACAATTTGAGGTAAGGGGGAAGCTGATGAAGGGTACAATGCACTGAATTTCGCAAGCAGTGTGTGAAAACATGACTCACTTATCAAAAGATCACAAGCAGTACTCCACATGAAAATCAGGTGTTAAGGGTGTAAAAAAGTTTGCACGCCAAAAATACTGTCTACTTTATTTAAATTGCATATTGTTGGACGAAAACCAATTTCCCATGAAACAGTTTGTGGTACAATGAGAGATAATAAATAATAAATAAATAAATAAATAATGAGAAATAGTAGACTACCGGAAAGCATACGCATCAGCAGTACGCCAGCACACTGCAGCGACGCATCGCTGTCATGCGATCAACAGTTGTGCGATGGCTGAGTAAATCGCGAGGTCGCCCGCACGTGCGAGAATTCGAAGCAGTGACCTCCGGATTAGAAGAAAAGCGTGTAATCCCTTCGGTCAACGGTCGACATGCTTGGTGTCAACTAACCAATTAGGGTTGAACCAAAACAGAACAACTCATGGACCGCACAATAAGTAGCACAGTGTGATGGTGGTGGCCGAGAGTATGTAGAGAGATGAAACAGATATGAGGAAGGTGGGAGTATCAGATAGTGCCGTCTTGCTGGCCAACAATGTAAGTAAGCAATACCACAGTGGATTGGACAACCGGCACAAGGATGACATTGGCAAGACACAACCACAAAGGCGACTGACCTCGGTGACAAGTGAGTACGAACAGTATCCGGTCAACGGAATTTAACTTGCACAGCAGTGACGAACGATACGAAGAATCAATAGCATACTGCGTTAACCACGAACTGACACAACTGGATGTGGACTACAAACAAGTCATACTGTGCTTGGAGGATCCCGTAGAATAGAGGTCCTTGGGACAAGAGTGAAATATTATCCGGTAGTATGTAGGCACTCAGTGAAGGATGCTAGCTGTGGATTGTTGGCGTATTGCGCGACCAGAACAGCCAATCGGAATGAATGGAATGATTCAGAAAACAAAACCGGCCAAAAGATCCGATGCACTGAGAACGGTTGACTAGTCGATGCAACTTGATGATGTCAGGGTGGATCCCAAAAACATGGACAAGAGTAGTTAGCTGAGGTGAATGGCGGTCGCTAACGGTGGGCTCGGCAAGACATAGTAGTCCGAGTAGAAGAAATGCGGCAATATGCCGTAGAGATGTGTAAAGACCCTAAGTTCCCAGTTGCGTTGATATGCCTTTTACTTAATAAATCGTGATTAGATCGTATCTTCAGCAAATCACCGTTGCACCAAGTGGTGCAGCGCAGTCAACAACGCGGTTCTGCCGTGTTTCAATACTTCAGGCGGGATCCCATCGGCCCTAGCACAATTGCCGTTTCGCAGCTGGGCAAGTGCTCTTTGCATCTCATAGACTGTCCGCGTGTCCGCTAGACTCGCCTTCACATCGAGCTCTATCAGACTGTTCAAAGTAGGCCAGTCGAACTCTGAACGGTTGTCCAAGAGACAGTCAAAGTGTTTTTGCCAGATCTGCATTATGTCTGCAGTCTGTGTGCAGGTAGCGCATGAACTACCATCGATCAGCGTCCTCAGCTGCTCCAACCACTGTCCATACACCGACTTCAAGGAGTCAAAGAATTCCTTGTGTTGGCGGCGTTCGGCGTAGCATTCCATCTGCTTCGCCTTCTCCGTCCACCATGCATCTTTTATGCGACGGAGCTCGCGAGTCAGTCGTCATCGAATTCTGCCAAACTTTCTCTTCTTCCCCAAGTTACTTGGATCTGCCACATGTGTAGCAAATGCTGCATTCTTATCACACACCAACGTGGCAATCGTCGCATTGTTCTCATCAAACCAATCGGGCCGCTTACAGTTTGCGCGCCCGATGGTCTCCTCGGCAGCAGCTGTCACCTGGTCGCGAATGTGGTGCCACAGGTCGCCCACTGTGGCTATGCATTCCACATCACACAGGCGTGCAGCCATCGCCTTCTCCAGCTCAATAAGTTTCTCCACAGTACCGACGGAGAGAATGTTAAATTTACGCCGATTCACGGCGGGAGTGCAATACATCGATTTACGAAAATATATGTACAGTTTGGTCCGTACCAATATGTGATCAGTGCCACACTCAGCTCCACGCAGTACACGTGTCATACGCAAATCACGCATATCATGCTGACGTACGATGACATAGTCGAACAGGTGAGCGTGACCACTCCGTGGGTGCGTCCAAGTTGCTATATCACTCGCACCCAGTGCAAACCGAGTGTTCGTGATCGTCAGGCCGTGAGTGGCACACAGTGAGAGCAGCCTGTCACCGTTCGCATTCGCTGAACCAATGCCATGCGAACCGATAACATCTGTCCACACTGAGGAAACACGCGCAACGCGCGGGTCGAAATCACCCAGCAGAAATAGTCGGTCGCTCCTCGGCACAGACCGTGTCTCGGAGGATACCTGAATGTAGAACTGATTACGCGTGTCATCAGGATAACACATGGTCGGACCGCACGTGCTTATAAAAGTAGCAAACTTACCTCTTCCGAGTCGTAGGCGAACAGTCATCAATTGCGCGCTGATGCCTGTTGGTTCACCCACCAGCTGGCCATTCAGGCGATCGGATATTGCAAATCCAACCCCAGGTTCACGTGGTGCTGATGCGGCGTTGCCCACCCAGTAGAATGTGTAGCCAGCACCTGCTTCATGCAACTTACCTTGCTCAGCGAGCCGAGTTTCACTGTGCGCCGCAATATCGATGTTGTAGCGCGCTAACTCGAGTTCCGGTCCAGTAGTGTGCGCAAGTTCCAGCACCCGATGCTGAGTGCTTTGCGCGCAGGCATACGATTGCATTGGTGGGTAATCACAAGCAAGATGGCGGTTGTGCTTAGGAGGCTTGCTTGAGGGACTGCACGCGGAGCCTTTGGCTTAGGAGCTTGACCTACAAGGCAGTGGGGAGCAGATCCAGCTCGGGAATGTGATTGCAGAGACAGATTGGGATCTGCTTGACGACCGTCACACGCAGCCTTTGAGGTACTGGAACGATTCATATATGTTTTACAACCGTAGTAGGATGCGCACCTGCGATCATGGACAGACGTAGGTAGGTTTTGGCGGGTATGCACCAATTTGACTAGGGGCTGCCTGGCTTGAGGCAAGCAGTAACAAACCATTGAGCACCCAGTGTCCTCCCAGCGTCAGAGACAATGCGTGGCGCTAGTGCTCTATGCCAATCGAGCTGGGAGCTTACAACCCGTAGACCTGTTGTCTCCCATGAATAGATTTTAGAGGAAGAGAGCCATCGACCACAGCCTAACATCCGAAGAGGATGGACTAGGATACTGGAAGGGCGCCCACACCTGACAGGTGGACGATTCGGGTCCTCAGCCAAAGCCTTCGATTAAATGTACACCCGAAAGGCAGCGGGTCTAGCACATGGACAGTTCACCGACTCATGCGGATTGGTGTCCTGGATCTTAGAGAAGGGAGAAGGGCATAACAAAACTCCCACCCAGCGGTCGCCAAGAGGAGGCGTCCAGGACATGAGCCCATGGCACAACAGTAGCAGCAGTGAGTAGATCGTCTGTCAGGATTTAGCCACCACCAGCCTCAGCGCACCAGACTCCCACCATATATATATATATATATATATATATATATATATGCATGTGGTTTGCGCAAATAATTATTTGCTGATGTAAATCGTCCGGTACTCTCATGTTAACGTGTTATGTAGTCTCATAGGGAAATAATTGCTTGGAAAATAAGTTAGCTGGATTGCGCAAACTTTACTGTTCAGTCATCTCCCTGTGGTCGTGTCTATGATCTGTATCATTTTGCGATTTATGATAACAAACAACATATTGTCAAACCAGACAACGGAAATCGAAGTGCGTATGTGCGTGGCAGGGTGGCCAGACTTTGTGGTTATCAAAGACAGAAAAAGTCACCCAGCTTAAGCGCAAGTCTAGGATGCTTATTGTCCCAAATACATTATCAGCGAGAGAAGCGGTCAGAGCAATGAGTAGTTAGTCAAACTTATGGATTGCCAGCATCCGTTTCCGGATTTGCCTGCCACTGTGGCCTCCATACGACAGCCACAGGACGCCTGCGCCTAAAGAGGGACCATGGTTGGTTTGCGTTGCACCACCCACAAACTCTCTATCCGGTGTGAAGCCGAAAGAGTAAAACGGGGAGGCATGCAGATACGAGCCACGTTTCACCAACGGATCCGGCCCACACTCCTTCGATATGCATAGCGGCAGCATTCAGGCCTAATTGGGGAAATCATGCATACCAAATGCATACAAGGCGGTGGCTGGGCCGTAGCCTGTTCCATACAGGATGGAACCACTCTTTGGGTTCAGCACCATCACGGTGCACTCCGACATCCCCCAGCAACGATTCAGTCCCCTGGAGCCAGTACAATCGAGGTAAGGGTGATAGCCAGGTAGGTACCTTGTCAACATTCACATCAGGCATAGCCAGGCATTACATATGACACGGGAAGTTTCTTGCATCAAGCGCACGTCCGACAGACAATCAGTCGGGTTTAGCCCGACTGATACGATAGAGCACATCGTATGCTACGTCAGACTCGATCTTAACAACATATGGGAGGCTGATAGCCGTCAAGTAAAAGTAAAGACGCGCTTATGATATGCGGGATGCAGACTGATAGATAGCTGGTAAAATGGTTCTAGTATGGTTATTGCTTATTATTACACTCCGATAGGCGAGACATTTAAAAAGTCAACGGGAAACACAACTGACTTTGGCAATTCGTTGACGCAGCTGGCGAATTCGAAGCCACACATCTTCAATCTGGCTGAGAGAAGGAGGCAAACCAGAGGAATTCGCAGTAGAGGAACCAATGCTGAGTACCTCCTGATGAACAGTCCTACCGGTTGGGGAAGAGAGCTGCATTGGCGTGGAGGAATCTCTAAGGTTTGATGGAGATACACACATGGGTTGGGAACCACCAGGATCGTAGTGAATACTGAACTGGTCGGTGGAATTGCAAATATGACCATGTGGGTTTGGCGCAAGGGCAACATTTACGTTTTGTTGAAGGGATACAAAGCCTTGACTGGAACAGATGGCAGACGGAGGCGAGGAGCCGTTGGTGGAAGAAGATGAGGAAGTACCGTTGGAAAGCTGGTGAACGAGAGCCTGTGAAACCGAGTATTCGGGGATGCCACCAGTAGCAACGTGGATTGGAACGAAGGAGGTAGAAGTCAGATGGGAATCTAGTATGAGATTACCCTGAATAGCTGAAAGAGCGAAGGAACAGCAGAAAAAATAGTTGGACGACTCGCAGATGAAGAATGCAAATTTAGTACTGGAAGCATATAAAAGTGATATGGGATAAACGGAAACCATCTGTGGGCAAGAGCACATTCGGCTCTGGGTGACAACAGACCCAGGAAATGGGGTTCAACAGTACCCAACAATCCATAGGAGTGGTCTGGCACACAGTGTTAAAATCAAGTTCCTCTAAGAAGAATCATTAGAGAGAGATGTTATAACATGCAGTGTTGCAGGAACGAAAAGAAGTTAGACCGACTACATCTCTCAAAGCTCAGCAGATATGAACTACAAAAAAGAGGAAACTCAGCACCAATATTCCCCTAGACTAGGGGCCGTTACGTAGCCTAAAGGTAACAAACATGTCTTGTAATCTGACGGTGCGGGTTCGAGCCTGTGCAGGGGCAGGGCGATCCTCGCAGTACCCTTCGCCCACGTGCACCCAGAGGTGGTTGCGCGGCAGCGAAGTGTCGGTACTGTGTATGGGCGTACTGTTGTTGCCGACTATTCCTATTCTTAAAGTGGCGTAGATCAGAGTAGCCAGATTCATCATATTTCGGTGCACGGATCATAACCAATTAGCTTAACCAGTCGGTTACCGAAAAGATTGCGCACCTGGGTTGTGATCCTGAGGTCAAAGATTTCAATCCGCCTAGTTGATGGTGGCGATGACGGTATATCCCGCTCTCGCGCGACTGGTGGTAGTCACGTAACAGTGAAGAGTCAGTACGGTGCGTTGGTATACTACCGATGCTTGTTCGTTAGACAAACAAAAGAAAAAGGCGTCAGCAGTACCGACGCCTCGCTGCCGCGCAACCAGCACCAACCGCATATAGGCTAAGGAGACTGTCCGGTCCCTACACAGGCTCGAATCCGCGATCTCGGATTACAAGGCAGGCTTCGGAACCTTAAGACTACGGGTCGGCTGCTTTCCAGACAGGCAAAGGGTAACAGCACCAGAAGTGCGTAACCAGCTTCAACTGCCACTACCTCATACTCAATGCCGATGACCGGAGGTTATACAACCGTGGCAGGGGCTCGAACTGATTGCGTCGTTCAGGGTCGGTATGCCCGCATTGTGTAAGCAAAACACAAGCGAAGATAGAAGAGATGGTGGACAAGTAGCCCCGAAAATGACGTAGTGAAAATGATAGTGCTCACCTGACAAGTGGCTGCCCACGTTGGTGATGTAAAAAGCTGATTGGGAGTGGTGGTGCAGCGGAAGCTGGAATTTCACAACTGAATTGGAGATAGGAGTGAGGAGGAAGTATGGATATGGGACAGGATTTGTCGAGGGGACTGACAAGGTTGGAGTAACGGGGAAGGTATTAGAGGAAGAAAGGAAGTAATTAGTGGGTGTGGCAGACACAGCAGTTGTGCTTATTGCGGGAAATGCATACGTATCCGCAGAAGTAGACAAACTGCCAAAAGTCCATACGGGAGGAGGTAAGGGGAGAACAGGAACGTGTTGTGTTGTACAAGATAAAAGGCCATTCTGTGCACATGGCAAGGAAGAACCGTTGTGGATAGTTAGTGAATCAGAGTTCATAACATGATGCTGGCCCAGGTTAGAAAGTCGATCACCAAAGTGTTTTGCAAGAATCTCGTCACGATAAGGCTCCAACTGACGAATTAAAGCGGCCTTGGGTCCAGATCGAGAAAGATTCCGTTCGCGACATTCACTGCGCAGTTTAGTCACGCTGAGACGATCCAAAGATGGAGAAAATAGGTAAGAAGAGAAAGATGTGTCAACTTTTGTCACTGAAGGGGCTATTGACGGGCAAGTACGAATAACCGGGGATATAGTGGAGGTTTCGAAACTTGACACTTGGAAACACTGAATTGATTCCAAAGGCTCCGATAGACTCCAAGAGGAAGACGAGTTCAGTGACGAAACTGTTTTCACGGAAGGTGAGGTTGTGATGGAATCTACACACTGCCACTCAGGAGAATTGCCGGAATCAGAAGTGAGAACAGTAGGTGGGTCCAGTAACTTAGCGGTCCCGCCGCCAATCCGACAACTTAGCTCTTGCTCAACAAGACGATGGGCTCTAGCAGTATCCTGAAGTCTTAACATCTCCGCTTGCTGAGCTTCCCGAACTCTTTGTTTGTGCTGAGACAGAGTAAGAGGATCACTTCTCGTGTTCGCTGATACAGAAGACTTCGGACAATAATTGTGAAACACCAGGGATCCAACCTTGTACACTACTGTTTCCTCTTTAATCGATCGACTGTTGACAGGATGACTAGACGATGGCCGAGTACCGGTAGCTATTGCACGTCCGACGGCCTTTCCACAAGCGCCATCCAAAGCGGAAGGGGACTCGGACAATGATGTAGAGCTGTGGGCAGTGACTGGAGGTGGAGCAGGAATGTCGAGACTTGTGCTGATGGTGGTACATTGTTCGATGCATTCGACGCGGGGGTATTCAATGGAGCCATGACGAATAAGACTATCGATACCCGGGTCGACCTAAAAATAAAAAATAGAGAAGCAGGACGGGTGCTTACTTGAAGAAATGCAATAGGTGATAATAAGAAATGAACAAACACTACTTTAGATGAATTTAGAGACGAGGAAAAACCGCGTCGCGTGTGAAAAATGCATTCACGGAAAAACATCTAAAAAATTCGTGTGGCAATGCCAGTTGTCAATCGCTGAAAGCATAAGAACCGCATGAAAGACAATTAAATGAAGTTAATAAAGAGAGCGGCAAGCCTGACGAAATTTCCAGAAAGGTTAGAAACGAACCTGAAGCACACCCTTTTCAACTAACTCCAAAGTCCCAGGTCTGGCAATAAGTTTTGAGTTCAGCGAGCTTTTCAATTGGTACTTTTCCAAATTGTGACACTGCTGCAGGATGAAAGGCGAGGTGCCAGGTTTTTCATCTAACAGAAAAGAAGAGAAATAGCTGGATGGAAGCCATCGATTCACCTCTGATGATACGTCGATTCACCAGATATTGTCGGTCCGGTCTTCTTTCGATTTTCTGCTTGAGAATATCACTTGTCTAAGAGGTGGTAGTGAAAAGCAGAGTTTTACTTTGGCACGCTGCAACTGACGGACTTTGTCTGCATTGGAAATCGATGCTATGAAGAAAGAAGAATCAAAAATGAGTGCAGTACTTACGACTCAGTAGGATACCCTGATTCACCAGTTCTTTGATGGAACGTCTACATCGCAAACCTTTCTCAAGTGCTAGACAATGAAAAGACGAACATGAAAATCAGAAGAACTACCCACCTTCCTTGTTTTTCAAGCGATTAAGCGATAATGAAGAACTTTCGGTAGATGATTGTGGGCTTCCAGATTTTCGAAAGCCAGCGTCAGCACACATGGCTAAAATTAAACGTAAGATGATGTAAAGATCAAGTGGACTAATTTAACGAGTGGTGGGGCTTGATTTTGACTGCTCGCTATATGCTCAGGTTCGGACACGTGAACACGGTAAGAAACATTGTCTACGCTTAAGCAGCATGTGGGTTATTCGAACTTTTGCTATATCCTTGGAACCGATCGAGAAGTCGTGATTTCAGAGATTTGTGGACAATCGGTTAGTTTAAATAATTAAGTTATTAATTAAACCAACCAACTGTCCACAAATTCTCTGAAATCATGACAGCATGCGGGTTACTTAAACTAGTGCGACTACATGCATGAAAAAAACTTAATCGTGTGGACTGTAGACGCTGCGCTACAATCAGCTTAGCACTTAACATTGGAATATTGTATTTAATGGGAATAAAAGCTCGAGCTTTACATGACCCATAGGGTAAAAAAAGTTCCGGTCGGGTCTGATGAAAGGCAATGCAACCTTATAGTGGGTTGGACTAGCGTGTTAGCCGTATCTGCATCGGGCTTATGCGGCATTTAAACAGAGTGCACGCCGGCTCAAAGCGAAACATCCCACCACATCCTCCGAAACGGCTATGGAAAGAAAGTAGTTGGAAGAAAAAAGGGGAGAGAAACTCCGTCAAGTAGAAGGTAGCTCAGGGAATATCGCGGTGCAGCTCGGTCAGATGACAGTCCAGACAAGTCTTAAAATCCGCCACAGTGGGTGCCAAGACTAAATCGGCAGGCAGAGCATTCCACGGTCAGCAGCTTCGCAAAGCGAAGTAGTGTCATCTGCAGTTCAGCCGACTGTGGTGACGTGTGAGTCTTAGTGGGTGGCTACATAGGTGGGAGCACGATTGGTGCAGCGTGAATAGGTGGCGACAGGAATGTCCAGGGTTGGATAAGAGCAAAAATACAAGGATCAGGTCGCGCCAGAGACGTCGGTACTTAAGCGAGTAGAGGCCCAGGTAGTGAAGTTGTGGATAATCTAGATGTTTGAGACCTCGGACCAGTTTTTTAGCTCGGCGTTGTGGGGCTTCGAGTATACGTTGGTCCTTCAGCAACCAGGGGCTCCTGGCCTGAATAGCAAACTTCAAGTGGGGTCGAAGAAAAGCATTGAGGAGAAGGTGCAAATTGCCAGGGTACGTTGAACCGAAGGCTCGTTTCAGCAATGCCACCATGCGGTTAGCAGCAGAAGCTGCTTTCCGGCAGGAAGCGGATACGGAAAGACTCGCCTGGGTAATGATTCCCAAGTCACTTTCGGCTGAAGAGATCTGGAGGATAGACGCTCCCAGGAAATATGTAGAAGCGGAAGGGTGGGTAGAATGGACCACTAATGTAGATGGTCGAGATCCGTCTGAAGTGCGTGGGCATCGTCCCGTAGGTTACTTGTGCGCCACAGCTTCGTGTCATCCGCAGATAGCAGCAGCAAAGAGTTTACTTGCGGTGTGACGTCGTCAATGAAGGCTAGGAAGAGGTCCGGTCCGAGAACAGGGCCGTTTGGAACGCCGCTTGTGGCAAGGATGCAGGGGGACAACGCTCCGTCGACGCATACTTGGACGGTACGGTTGTGAAGGTAGTCGCGGATCCAGTCCATCAAGGTCCCTGAAACGCCGTAAGACAACAGTTTCTGTAGTAAAATGTTGTGGTCGACCTTGTCGAAGGTTTTGACGAAATACAAGAATATGACACGAGTTTCTAGGCCAGAGTCGGCAGCAGCCGTCCAGTTATCCCTGGCAAGTAGTAGGTTACTCAGACACGACGGTTGTCACCGGAAGCCGTGCTGGCAATCGGAGAGCAGTTTCTGGGCCTCCATGTGGTCCATTAAAGCGTCTGCCACGATTGATTCCATCACTTTGGAGGTAGCAGAGAAGAGGGTTATCGTCGGTAATTGGCCGGAGCTTTGCGAGTACCGCCTTTGTAGATTGGTGTAATAGTCCCACATTTCCAGTCATTGGGAACTTTGCCTTGAGAGAAGAAGTAGGTGAACAGCTCCGCTAGCGGTAAAGCTAGAGCTGTAGCGCACGCCTTGGGTGGAAACCATCAGCGAAAGGAGAGACTGTTAGCCGCAGGGATTTGAGTTTCGCCAGGACCTTCTCCGGAGTGAACTGAACAGTCGTCAGGGAAATTGTGGATAAGACCGAAGAAGGTACTATCGTTGTATGCATTGATGGAACGGAGAATGTGGATGTGTACTGCTGGCACAGGACTTCTGCTGTCTCGTTCACCGACTTTGTGGGCCCTGTGGAGGTCGTCAGAGCGGTGGCATTGTGCGTGACTTGTCGAAGACTGTTGACGTGACTATACAAGGCTTTGGGATTGAATGAAAATTCACGCATAAGTTGACGCTGATGCTCACTCTTATCTTCGAGTACAAGATGGACGCAATGGTTACGGATGGATCGGGAATATTTCCACTGAGTAGCCGTTGGATGGGAGTGAGGCAATGCACTTCCGTGTACAACTTCGGATGAGTGCTGGGTGTCTCTTCCCTATGGAAACTTGTTTGTATGTCGTGGTAGTGGAGCAGAGTTCACGTAGTGTAAGGCAAAAGGTTGACCACACGCTGTCAAAACTCGATTAGGGCTCGGGTGAACAGCTGTTAGCGGAAATGAGAAGGTCCAACTTTCCGTAATCAGTCCAGCTTATGGTGTAAGTTGGCTTGCTGACGGGTTTTCCGGCGAAGCATATAAAATCGAAACGGAGGTCGCAGTGGTAGCTGAGTCCCAAAGGGGCCTCATACTCAACGTGCTCAACCATCAGTTCTTTGTTAGTGAGAATGAGATCTAGCAGGGATGGTTGGTTGTTGGATCGAAATCTGGTCGGTTGCTAGGTGTGGTTGTACAACGGGACCGTGTGAAGAAGATCAATGTGGCCTGATGCAAAGGAGTCAATACACGAGACAGAGTGAAATAAACGGGGCAGGTTGTAATCCCATGATAAGAGTGTGTGCGCTTGTGGGATAACATAAGGTGGACGTCGTGCAGTAGTCGTGAGCCCTTCTCGGGGGTTGTTAGGGGGCGGTAAATGATACCAAGACAGCTGGAGTGTTTGGCGGTTAGTACGACCTCGCACCAAATAGTGTCTGGTGACTGGACGGCAGTGTTTGTTAAGATGCTGCAACTGAGATGTCGTAGTACAGTGCGACACCGGCACTTGGAGTTGCGCGGTCAGCGCGGAGAACTGACATGTGAGGAAGTTTGACTTCACCGTCGGTTTTGTCGTCGGAGAGCCACGTTTCTGTTATGGCTATTAGGTCCGCTGGCGTTGACAGAAGTCGGGATTCGAGGTCCGGAAATTTAGGCATAAAGCCCTGTGCGTTCGTGTAGATACAGGCAAGGCCTGTTTGAGTGATGGGCGCGAAAGTAACCAGGGTGCTTCCGGACAATAGATGACCGGTAGTGCACCGTATTTTGGTTTAGAGGGGTGGATCCAATAAGATTGGCAATTGCGGAAGCAAAGTGTGGGTCGTCGGAGCACAGATGGGTGCTGGCGCCTGGTTCATTGAAAGGCGGAAGGTTGGAATGTGTAGGTGAGTAGATTACTCCAGGTAGTGAGGCAGTTGCTTCGGTGATGGACCGTCTGAGGATGGTTTGATCAGTGTGTCGGTACCGACGGGGATGCTGATGCTGCTAGGGGTCTGCGGGAAGATATGCGTCTAGGCACCGGGTGCTCATCAGGACGCAGACGGATATCTGGTGGTGCTCGTCCTTTATTAGCATACCAGATGGTGAGGGCATCGGTTGCCATGCCAGCGGTGAGGAATGTCACTTTCAGGAGATGGCGGGCTGTTCCTGTATAACTTACTGGACGAGGTAGGTGGCGAAAGTACGTTGTGATTACGTTGACAATATTTAGTGTCTGCTGAAGGTACGGCCACTGATTACAGTCATGCTGTGGCCGTTGTTGTAAGGTTGCCTCAGGGGCGCACAGTTTTAGAACGCCATACACTAGGATAGAGCATGGTTGAGTGGATGGCGTCAGATGCTACCCGCGCGCAATGCGCAGCAGGGGGATGTCGGGGAAGATACGAATATGGTAGATGCCGAGAGACGCGTTGTTTCGGAGTAGGTGTGCCGACAACAGGACACCCTCCATAGCCTGGTCTCACTGCAAGTCAACACGCAGAAGTCTTGGCTTACCGGCGCTCGGAGATGAAAGGCGACGAGTCAGTCTTGTGAGACTAATGGGTTTTGTTTCAGAAAGGTTTAACGCGATACAGACCGAATTCCACATATTGGAATCATGAGAATGTCAATTCTGAAGTTGCAGGTCGTTGAAATCTGGCACGTTTGTACAGAATTAGGAGTAGGGTAACTTGTTATTCGCTTAGACGAAGGCGGATGTGGGGCGGTAGCAAGCTTACCTGGTTGGAGGGCCTCCGAAGAACCGTTGGGCGTCGGCGAGTGTTGGACACATCAGCAGTTTGTAACGATGAGACGATACGTGATTCAGGACAGCTGGAAGGTTGCTGTCGTCGTTTGGTTAGGCCGTCGACTCTTCGCAGAGGCTCTGTAACTGTTCTTCCAGATTAAGTAAGCGCACTTCTAAGCGGGCATTGTTGCTAGGCAGCTCGACGAATCGCGGTGACCGGGGCGACTGCGTCTGCGAATGGTTGTTACGCGGTGTGGAGGGCGAGTTAGTAGGAGACGAGATTACAGAACAAAGCATAGGGCAAGTCGCAGAGGAACAGTCTCTAGGGATATCGCGCCCATAATAAGCAATGGGAACGCAAACTGAGCAGAAGTACTGCAGGACCGTCTGTGGATGTGAGCGACAGAAACCCATGTCAGTTGCATGGAGCGAATTGTCTCGGGGAGCGTAAACACGGTGTAGACAGATCGAACATGTGAGGGCCTTGGAACGAGGCCCTGCACGTTGAGTGTAAATCAAGCAAGTGTTCAGTGGCGAGACCGAAATGATCGGCATGGTCAAACGGATGACAAATGTCTGCAAATAAAGGTAGGTAGGTATCTGCCTCAGGAGAACAGTATTTCACGGTTC